CTACCAAAGGTGGGGGGGTCTTAGGAGCCAGCCTTCATAATGCCTACCGAAGGTGGGGGGTGGTATTAGGAGCCAGCCTTCATAATGTCTACTGAAGGTGTGTGTGGGGGTGGGTATTAGGAGCCAGCCTTCATAATGCCTACCAAGGTGGAGGTGGGTATTAGGAGCCAGCCTTCATAATGCCTACCAAAGGTGGGGGGTATTAGATGTTATGGAGTTGATGCTGCCTCCTAGCAGCCTTATGCATACCAGAATGAAACCTTGCCTAGTTAGGAACCAGTCTTACTGTTGGTAGGTTTCAGTCTGTTGCTGTCATTGTGCCATCCATCTCATTGGGTGTCTTCCTCTTTTTCACTAACCCTCCACTTTATCTGGTAGCATGGTGATTATGAATTGTGCTGGTAACCTCAAGGTCAGCAGTTCAAAACTACCATGGGAGAAAGACGAGGCTTTCTGCACTATTTACAGCATCGGAAGCCCTATGCAGACTCGCTATGAGTTAGAACTGACTCCATGGACCCCCACCACTTTACCAAGCATGATGTCCTTGTCTAGGACTGGTCCTTCTTCACAACATGTCTGAAGTATGAGAGGTGAAGTCAGCATCCTCCCTTCTGAGGTGCAATCCAACACAGAGTTGTTTGTTCTTCTACCGGCACTTGGTACTTCCCGTGTTCTTTGCCAACACCGTAATTTGCTTATTCATTGTCCAGCTTTCTCACACAGATGAGATGATTGAAAATACCACGGTTTCGATCAGGCATGTCCTCAAACTGACATCTTTGCTCTTGAACACTTTCAAGACGTCTTGCAGCAAATTTGCCTAAGACAATGCATCGTTTGATTTCTTGACTGCTCCTTCCATGAGCATTGATTGTGGATCTGAAAATGAAATTTTTGACAATTTCAGTCATTTCTTTATTGTTGTTGTTATGTGCCATGGAGTCAGTTCTGACTCATAGTAACCTTGTACAGGGTTTCTGAGGCTGTAAATCTTTAGGGTTGCAGAAAGCCTCATCTTTCTCCTAAGGAACAGCTGGTAGTTTCGAACTGCTGGGCTCTGAGGTTAGCAGCCCGATTTGTAAACACTACGCTACCAGAGCTCATATTTCTTTATTATCGAGTAGAAATATCAGACTAGATTTCAGACTACATTTACGTACGTTAAGCCAACTTCATACTAGACATAGCTGTAGAGTGTAAATGAGATTGTCTAAGATAATATATGGGGGGGGGCTTCAAAAAGTTCGTGAAAAATGAATAAAACGATATTGGACTTTTCCACAAACTTTCTGAAGTTCCCTCCTATGTATTGACAACTCCAGGGGCTTTCTTGAGGAGCACTAGCAGAAAATGTGTATGACGGTAGATTCCTAGAACGTGAATACTAGAGAAGAGAGAGTTTTGTTGGTTGGTATGTGTCTAGGACTCTATAACTACTTCTTAAATGAGTACAGGTAGGGGAGATAAACCATCAGAAAACAAGGAAGCATCAAAGAGTAGAACTGATGTTAAATGGAGTGTCCTGTCAAGGGAGCAAGGAGGCCCGTGGAGATCTTTTCAAGGGAGAGATTGGTGAAGAGGTAAATTTAGTGGAAGACTGAGATTTTCAATTACCCTTAACCCTGGCTCATTAAGGGAGCAATTTCAGTTGGATGGGGGGATATGGAAGGGGAAATAAAGTTTTGGGGAATGAATAGAAAGGAAAGCAGTAAGGATAGTACCTGAATGGTAATGTGATTGAAGAATTAAAAATGAACCCTATATGGATTATGAAGAAGGGTCTGGCTACTGGCTGTGCTTAAATAATAAAATCTATGAGATTCTACTCTGGATTGTGACAATGGTTCTCAAAGTATGGTTTCCCAGGCAACCTCAGCATCACCTGGGAAGTGGTTAGAAATACCAACTTCTTACGTTTTACCCCCAGATCTCCTAACTCAGAAACTCAGGGGCGTGTCAGAATGGGTGATTCTGATTCATGCTAAAGTTTGAGAATCACTGTTAAAAGATAATAATTTTGGGAAAAAATTAGCACCGTTGAGCTGTTGAGAGAGTCTCAAAACAAGGAGCAAAGATTTACAGGAGCCGTTCTTCAGAGAAGGAAGGAGCTCTGTCCTTGTATCTGAAACGGAGCTGGGGGCTCGGCTTTCATTTCTTCAGAGATGTGGTGGTGAGCCACTTGTTTCTCTCCTGCTCTGAGCATCTGATTTCTTGTCACGACATAAAGCAGCCTTATTTAAGGACATGCTCTGTTATAACAGAATGTGGGTCTCCCTTAAGTTAAGGCTTGGATTTCCCTATTTCTTTCTTTCTGTCCTTAAAAAAATGCCTTCTAAATTTGTTTGGTTTTGGATTTGTAGCATTTTCGCTTTTAAGTTCATTGATATATATGTATAATTTTTGTGTTGTGATACCTTCTCACATATCATAAATATTGCCAAATAAACCTTTAAGCATTTGAGAAATTAAAAGCAAACACAAAAAAACAGTCAGTACATACACATGGTTCAAAATTCAAAAGGCCCCTTCATGGTAAACGTAGAAAAATAAGAGCCTTTCTCTTCTGTTTCCCCCAATTCAGTTCTTTTCTCCCGAGGCAGTTTGGCTATCTGTTTCCTATACATTCTTTTAGAAGTAGTCTTGCAGATTTTCTGCTAGTTTTTCTATTCATTGGTTAATCTTTATTGATTTGAAGGAGTATTTTTGTATCGTAGACATTAATTCTGTGTTAGAATGGGTTGCAAGCATTTTTTCCCAGTGTGTTTTTTTCCCTTCTTTTTTCCTATTGTGATTTGGGTGAATACTTACAGATTAAATTGGTTTTCTGTTCCACAATTCACGCACACTTCGTTTTGGGACAGTCCCGACAGACAGCGTTCTTCCTGCTTCCACCCAGTGATTCCTGTCGCCCTCCGCCCGCCGGCCTTTCCTGTCCTTTCCTGTCTCCTTCGAACACTCTGATCTGTGGTTTGCTACCATTGTGCAACTGTTAAAAGTGCTTTTTTACTGGCCGATGTTTCTCCTGATTCCACTGCAAGTTTATCAAAGCATTGGTTTTCATCCTACCAGGTCTGCGAGTTGGATATTATCTTTAACTTTGAAAAGGCCTATTTCATCCTGGACGAGTTTATAATAGGAGGAGAAGTTCAGGAAACATCCAAGAAAACTGCAGTAGCAGCAATGGAAGACTCCGATATGTTACAGGAGGTTAGTACCAGCTTTACTGCCCCATGGAGGGAGGGAAGAGGGCGAGCAGATAGTCATAGTGATGGTGACTTTGATACAGTGAAACCTCTGAGAGCCGGAACTTGACAAGACTGCCTAGTTTTTCTGTATCTTGAAAGCTTTTCGCCTTTGACAGGGTCCAGTGTTTTCTATCAAATATTTAAGTTTTCCTTCTCTGACAGGCCTTATATAAGTTCCGTCTTTCACAGATTTTACTGTTATTGAGTACTTGAACCCACTGGGTGGTACAGTTAACATCCTCGTCTACCATCCGCAAGGTTGGAGATTCGAATCCACCCAGAGGTGTTTTGGAAGAAAGGGCTGGTGATCTACTTCAGAAAATGAAATCAACCCCTGGAAACCCTATGGAGCCCAGTTCTACTCTGACACACATAGGGTTACCCTCAGTTGTTATCAATTCGCCAGCAGCTGGTGTTGGATTCTTACTCAAAGTCAGGCACAATTCTAAAGAAAATTCTAATTTTTAAAATTCTCATAACTCTTAAGAGGCCGGTAGTATTATTACCTTTGTTTTACAGGGGAGTAAACCGAGTCACAGAGAGGCTAAATGACCTGCCCTGCGTCACTGAGCTAGTAAGTGTATTATAGGGACTTGAACCCAGGGAGCTGGGTTCCAGAGTCTTTGCTCTTCATTTATGATTGAGCTTGTTAGGCAGGGCACCTCACTGTCAGACAAACTATGAGAAGCTTGGTGCTGTTATTTTCCAGAATAATTTTATGAGGTATATAAAAAGACTTGCATTATCAGCTCTGTGATGCCCAGAGAAAGGAGAATAACAGTGCTTCCGTATTTCATTTGCCAGGGATGTTAGAGCTTTATTGTGGAAACTGGCATTTATCATTTTAATTAAAATTTCTTTTGCCTCCTGGGGTGTCTGTATGTATGCTCCTGTGTGCATAAATAAATTGGGAACACTGTGGCTTTCTTGCCGAAGTGTAAACGGACCTGGAAGCCTCAATTTGGACCTGCTCTTGGCTCCCCATGATTCTTACATGGAACACAATGGGATTGGTTTTAAACAGCCAGATTTGTACCTGACCTAATAAAAATCTTACATCATCCATTCCATTCTCCCCAGGACACCATGAGGAAAAACTCTTCACCCTACTTAACTTTGCCTTAGCAAATGAGGCGATCTGACCATCCCTAGTTCCAGGGAACATCGGACGGCCTGGGTTCCATCCAACCCTGCCTCTTCAAATGACTTCTTTTCACAGCAGCAGTTTTCCCAGTTTCCCATTTATACAATGGAATCCTAGGTGGAGTCCAGGTGTGGTACTGTAGGATAAGCACTGGACTGCAAGGTCGGTATGAATTGCAATATGGTGCTTCAATCCCATCTGCCACTCCTTGGAAACCCTACACAGGGTCATTGAGTTGAAACTGACTTGATGACTCTTAACAACAACAACAACTAGGTGGCACAAGGTTAATGTGCTTGGCTGCTAATCTCTGGGAAATTCGAGTCTACCCAGAAGAACCTCAGAAGAAAGGCCTGGTGAACTATAGAAAAATCAGCCATTGAAAATCCCACAGAGCGTAGCGCTGCCCGGACACAGCTGGAGTCACCATGAGATGGAATTGACTCAAAGGCAGTGAGTGGTGTTTTCATAATAGCAGGATTAGAGGAGCTAAAAGATTATAAAGTACCTTTAACAAATTCATGTTAGAGGCCACTCTTCCTGCTTTTTGAAAGTCAGAGACTGATGTTGTTGTTGTTGTTAAGTGCCGTCAAGTCAGTTCTGACCCATAGTGACCCTGAACAGGGTTCCTGAGGCTGCAAATCTTTACAGGAGCAGAAAGCCTCATCTTTCTCCTGCGGAGAGGCTGGTAGTTTCAAACTTCTGACTTTGCTGTTCACAGCCTGATTCGTAACCACTATGCTAGCAGACTGATTCCATAGTTTAAATTCACATGAACTAGACATGACATCCCAACAAATTGTCGGTTCATCTTTGAACCGATGGCTTTCTCTGCCTGCCAAGGGAATGAGCCCTCAGGTGAGTGATGTTGAGAAAGATGTCTGTTTGAGGAGGTGCCCACAGGAGCCTGGGTGTGCTTATCAGAAATGATGCATCTCAGACATGCATTTAAACTTTCTGCTGTTTGCTTCTTGTTAAGTGCTGTTGAGCTGGTTATGACACAGTGAACCCAGTATAGGGTTTCCGAGAAGCAGCTGGTAGGTTTGAATTGCTGACCTTGTGGTTTGAAATCCAGCGTTGATCCTAAGGTGCCAAACTTGGCTCTCGCCAAATGCCACAGGAAGGGAATTTTACAAGGTTCTTGAGGAGTCAGTGACTTGGAAGTTCTATACACATTAAGCCTTACTTAAAATGTACTGGAAGGTGGGGAGTTATTTATAATTCTACCCTTGGAACCGTAGCTGAAACATCTCCTTACAGGAGAAACAGGCTTGTCACTGGGTCTTTGGCACTTTTTTAGTAATGACTGCTCTTTGACTCCGGGCCAAGACAACAGCTGGGTGATTTTGCATTTCCCTCAGTAGGAAAGATCATTCAAAAGAGCTTGCAGCATATATGGTGTTTCTAATTCTGTGTAGATGTGGGAGACAGGTGTTTCGAGAGAGAGTCCTTGCACTCAAGTAGTTTAAGTAGCTACTTGATAGTTCATGATCCTGGTGACAAACTCTTGGTGGCCAGGTCTCAGGGGATCATCCACTAGCCCTTGTGTCCTTGTAGTGAGCAGGCAATGCCAGCGCTGTCCTCTGGGTCGCTCTTGCTGAGTTATTAACAGAACTTGACACAAAGAAAGTATTCTTAGTGGTCTCTTGGGCTCTGGTACTCACTTTTAGCTAAGTTGGTGGACATTTATAGAACGTGTTGAAAAACTGACTTTGCATATCCATCTGCTTTAGAAAATTTTAGAGTAGATAGGAGCAAGGAATACAATTGCTTGAAGAAAAAAGAAATTACCATTTTATCTTTGTGTTCTTGATGTAAACACACATTTACAGTAAACCAGAGTTTAAGGGGGGGGGCAGGGGGCTTTTGCAATATTGCTTTCATTTCTAGAACAACTCTAAACCTTGAGGTACCGTGGGACTCCCTTCTCACCCCTGTCATATAAAGGTTTCTTAAAATAAAAAAGGTGTCCTTTAATAAGAAGATACAAGATGCCTCAAAACCTCCAAAATCATTCTAAATGTACATGGGATCATACCAACTGTACAGAGTTCATTCTAAATGTACGTGGGATCATACCAAATGTACAGAGTTCATTCTGAATGTACGTGGGATCATACCAACTGTACAGAGTTCATTCTAAATGTACGTGGGATCATACCAACTGTACAGAGTGCATTCTGAATGTACATGAATGTTAATAATGTTGAAAGAAAAGGACACTTCAACTGGTTAGAATGGAACTTTAGGGGGTGCATTATTTTGAGAGTTCTAAGATGGATAATGATAAAAAGTTATTCCAAGGAAAAAGAAACTTGAAAAGATTAATTACAGAGCTTGCAATTCCTGGAATCTCCAGTTGAGGGGGCTGCAAGCAGAAGTTGATTTGACATTAAGAAAAGAGGGCCACGTGCATCCCAAGCAACAGGATTCCTTCTATGTATGTGTGTGGATGCAGGCAAAACTATATAAATACTTCAAATATATAAATACTGTTGTTGATGTTAAGTGCTGTTAAGTCAGTTCCAAACTATAGCAACCCTGTTTCCAAGGAGCAGCTGGTGAGCTTGAACCGCCAACCTTGTGCTTCAAACTGACCTTATAGTCCAGCGCATTTGGTTCATATCCATAAAGACCCTGCATAGGGTTTCTAAGGAGTGGCTGATGGATTTGAACTGCTGGCCTAGTGGTTCACAGTTCAGTGCTGATCCTACAGCGCCACACCAGAAGTCCTCCATAAATATTATGTTGTTGTTGTGAAGTGCTGTTGAGTCGGTTCTGACTCATAACAACCCTTTGTAGGGTTTCTGAGGAGTGGCTGGTGAGCTTGAACACCGCCAACCCTGCTGCACAAGTCATCTAGGTGAAGGGACCCATCGATAGGATTCCATGATGAGATCCAGAGTTCTGCCTCCATGAGGTGACCTTTTATAGGGAGCAGGGAAAAAAGGAAGCTCCTCCCACAGCCATGACTGATAGTAGCGATGTGTTACCTATGCTTACCAGGTCTACGGAAGCAGAGAGGGAACAATTGTAAATAGGAAAGCTTACATACCATCTTGAGGCTCTTGGGGTATAATGTCACAACTAGGTGACCTTGGCATCCATGAAGGGGGAGATATGCCCAGGAAAGCTTCTGCTTTCAATTTTTCTTGTGCTGGCTGGGAAACATGGCCTAAAACCCACTTTTAAATATACCCCACTTCTGACTTTGGCGGTTCGACTGTCGGAGGTACATGAAGTGTTCGAGATAGAATTGGTATCTGAAAACTTAAACCAAGTCACAGGTGGAACTAAACTCTGTCCTTTGCAGGCAAAAAGACTTCAAATTTTGAACTGTAAAGCCCCCAACACTGTCACCCTTAAAAGCATAAACCAGGTGAACTGCTGTATCAGAAAGATGTAGTAGAAAACGGTAGCATGTACAAGGGGACTTTAAAAAGTTCACTGAAAAATCCAATGAAAAGATAATGGCTTTTTCCCCATGAACTTTTGGAAGCCCCCTTGTGTACTTCGAAGGCTGACTGCAAAATTGCCTGAGGTGTCACAAACATTTCCTAGTGTGTAGTCTCCAGCCTTGGAAAGGCAAAGGCCGATCTCTGTCAGACCTCGATATGCCTGGGAAAGCTGCGTAATAAAAATGGAAGACTGGATAGTTGATGCATTGGAACCATGGGGCTGGCAAAAGGGTTTCAAATGACCCTTGGTGTGGCTCTGTAAGATCAGCGCTGGACTCCAAACTACAAAGTTGGTAGTTCAAACCCACCAGCTGCTCCTCAGAAACCCTATACAGGCTCACTTTAAGCTGGAACCAACTCGAGGCACTTAACAACAACAATTGTGACAAAGAACATCAAATAAACCATAGACTTCCAGAATAGACAAACCAGTCTTAAAAGAAATACAACCATAATGCTCCTTGGAAGCCAGGATAGTGAGATTTTGTTTCCCTAACTTTGACTACTTCATCAGGAAAGATCAATTGCTTAAAAATGACGGCATACGTGGTGTGGTACAATGGAGTATGTAATATGGCCTTCTAGCTGTAGTCTTTGTAACTCCCACCAAATGACTGGGTACAACCATGCACATATGAGGTCTTGTGAATTAACCAAGGGGATTGGATAACAGAACCACAGAGTGTGAAAGCTAAGCACCTTCAGGCAGGAGGCCTACTGGTAGATTAGGATGCCTCTGGGAAATTATTGGTAGTGCTATGGGAGCTTTGTAACACTTGCCCAAGCGAAGCAGAAGCCAAGAGGCAAAGGACCAGAGACAGGCATGCCTGCATGTACTGCTAAGAAGAGGCTGTCCTGATCAAAGAACTGCATTCGGAGGCATTTCTGATACTGAATCATAACCTGCAATGGTGAAGCTATTGCACGAGTTACCAAACCCAGCAGAGAAGTCAAGAGCGCCATTAGGAAGATGGTGGATGTCCTAACTGGTAAGGAGCTTGGAGGATGGAGGCAGGTCTGACCTCCACGTCACAGGAATCATCCTCGGACTGTTGATGCAGATATTGAGCCTCCTGCCCACTTGTGAAGGCCCAGGAGGTCAGACATTGCCTTCATGACATTGGTAGGGTAGGGAGTCAACAGACATGAGGGAACCATCAGCGAAGTGGATCTGCACAGTGGCCACAACAATGGGAACATCATGCAGTGATCCTGAGTGGCACAGGACCAGGCAGTGCTTTGTTCTGTCATTTATAAAATCTCCATGAGTCTCACACAGTCTTGGTTGGTCAGTGGCGTTGGCCTTTTTGGGCCCATGCTGGCCATGTCTCTCCTGGCAGCTACAGATGAATTACTTGCCCTGGTGTTTAAGCTGAAGGAGATGAGAACTACTGGATGTGGTTACCTTGACTCCCAGGGCAGACTTCCTTTTTTATTCTACTCAAGGACCAACATGCTATATGGGAATGCATGTATATCAAGGGAGAGAGCAAGAAAACGCCCATGGATCTTGCATGTTATATTTTGTGTGGTATAGGGCTTGTCACATCATTAGAATCTTTTTAACTCTGCTAGTAACTGTGAGTTTGTTTAAATATTTAAAAATCTAAAAGTTCTGGGAAAAAACTTACAACCGATGGCACATTAGCAAACTTAGCATCATCTTTCGCTGAGGGGTTGAGGGGGATAAACTGTAATTGATTTACTTTGTAGGAAATCTTTTTCAGAACTTGGAAATTCTTGGCTATGATTTGCTTCTCCTTTAGATGTTGGCAAGGTTGTTGTTAAGTGCTGTCAAGTCAGTTCTGACTCATAGCGACCCTGTATATGGGTTCTAAGTAGTGGCTGGTGGGTTTGAACCACTGACCTTGAGGTTAGCAGTCCAGTGCTTATCCTACCAAGCCACACCCGTACTCCAGATCTTGGCAATAAGTGTAATAAGATGTTCTGCACACTGTATATAACAACACACATGTTATATAACTAGACCACGCTTCTTTAACACATGGGTCTTTATGTGGTCCTTGATAATTTTAGCAAAATATTTATTTCAAGTCAGTGGTGCTAAAGTTGGTATTTTGCTGCTGCTGCTGTTAGTGTCCAGTCAGTTCCGACTCATAGCAACCCCTATATAGGTTTTCAAGGAGTGCCTAGTGAGTTGGAACTGCTGACCTTGCAGTTAGCAATCCAGTGTTTATCCTACAGTGACACACCAAGACGCCAAAGTGTTTTAGCATCTCTTTAATCAGATATTCATTGAATGATCAAACAGCTTTTTCTCAGGTGAAAGCTATGTTGTGAAATGCTGTCGAATCAGTTCCAACTCATAGTAGAGCCTGTATCTTATTTCAAGGCTGTAAATCTTTGGGGAAGCAGAAAGCCTCATCATTTCCCCAAGGAGCGTCGGGTGGGTTCATACCACCGACTTTGTGTCCTGAGTCCAATGCTTGTACTACAGAGCCACCATGCACATCCGTAAATATATATGTGTATGTAAATTTTACCCACCTTTCTTGATTTGAAGGTAGATTTTTGTTCCCATCAACAAGGAGGCTTCAAAAAGCTCGTGGGAAAATGAAGTGAAAAGATATTGGAAGTTTTCCAGGAGCATTTTGAAGCCCCCTTGTATTTTTGAAAGCCTCTTTTCCATAATGGTCCAAAGAATGGATAAATAGACTAAAGATTTCAATCTGCTAATGAATGTAGTTTAAGGGAAAATTGTTCTAATGTGTTGTTCTCTTTCAGACTATGGAAGAATACATGAGCAAGCCTACATTCTAACTTTGCGTCTACTTGAAGACTTGAGTGCTCCATATTGTACACCTATATATAAACAATATCTTATATTGTACTCTTTGACAGCCTCTGGCACCATGCCAAAAACAGCAAAAAGGGATTACTTGTTAACTAGCAAAATTTACAGTTGTTCAACATATTTATACTTAATATATGCCTGTTTTATACTGTATATGAACACTTATTGTAACTCTGGATATTAGAAAATATTGTAACTCTGCTCAGTCGACCAAGTATGTCTTCAGAGTGATGTTAACTCCATGTGATATTTTTCAGCTAATTTTGATAAATCCATTGCAATGTATTTTTGTTGACTTTGATCCTCTCCTGACAGATTGAAACCTATGTTGTAATGATCCATAATTTTGAATGGAAAATATAACTGTGTACCAATAATACCTTGTCCTCTGTTTCACTTTTATATTTTATGGATAATGGAAAAATTATGGCAATAGTTCACCATTCTTACATAATGCTAGATAGTTTTCAATACACTGAATAATACTATAATTTCAGTCCAGATACAAGGTACCTGATTTTAATATTATAAATTATTATTTTTTTTTCTATGATTGTATTTATGGAAAATAACCAAAGACAGTAAAGGATTTGTTAAGTTCTTTTAATGCCTTAGAAGCTGATATCTAGAAGAGATCTTTAATCTACCTTTTAAAAGAATGAAGGGATATTTCAATAACATGGTGTTTTACACAACTCTATGTATTTTTTAGCATTTCAGAAAATCTGGGTATAATATCTAAGACTTTCCTTTGTTGTTCGGTGACATTGAGTCAGTACCGACTCATAGCGACCCTGTGTACGACAGAATGAAACACTGCCTGGTCCTGGGCTAACCTCACAATTGATGCCACGCTTGAGCCCATTGATGCTGCCGCTTTGCCAATCCATCTCACTGGGGGTCTTTCTCTTTTTCTCTGACCCTCCACCTTACCAAACATGATTTCCCTCTCCAGTAACTAGTCCCTCCTAACAATATGTCTGAAGTAGTCCAAGTCTGGTCATCCTGGCCTCCAAGGAGCACTCTGGCTGCACTTCTTCCAACACAGATCTGTTGGTTCTTTCGGCAGCCCATGGCACTTTCAATATTCTCCTCCAACACCGTAACTCAAAAGCATTAATTCTTCTACAGTCTTCCTTATTCACTGTCCAGCTTTTGCATGCATATGAGGTTATTGAAAATACCATGGCTTGGGTCAGGCGCACCTTAGTCTTCAAGCTGACGTCTTTGCTTTTCAACTCTTTGAAAAGGTCTTTTGCAGAGGATTTGTTGGGAAAATTGGCAGAACTAGGGCAGAAGAGAAATTGATAAAATTGATTATATTAATTCCTCAATATGACTGTGATTAAAAGGAAATCATTCACTAGCATATAAAATAATTATTAGACTTTTAACATCTAATCTTTTCTTAAATTGATGTCATTATAAGTATGGCATCAGATTGATGTTTAATGATTTCTTTTTATTACATTGTTTACTTTAGGATTTCAAATTTGTGGTTTTCAGTTTTTTTGTTTTTTGTTTTAATATATGGTGGAACTCATTGATTTTAAAAGACCACTTTTGTAAAGGATGGGCCTTAGGTAAATTCATTGGTGTTTTTCTGGTTCTTTTGAAGTTTGCCACCATTTCTAAATGAAGATATTTATTGAACCTCATTCAAATTTACTACTCATATTCCAGATAAATAATTCCATGTTAGATATTGTCTAGATATACACAGGTTTCTCAGACTTCATGTCATGCCACACATAGGAAGTGAGCATCATTTGTACGACACACTGAGGTAAATTCAAGGGGCATAATGGTGAGTATCTTATATGGCCATTGGTGAAAACAACCATGATGTTTTCTTTATACCATATAATGACACTACAACTACCCAGGTGCTAGGAAAACAAAACATTAAATTTGTATGAAAACTTCCATATATTTTTAATTTCTTAAATGAGGTCTTCATGTGTACTTTCATGAATATAATTTTTATGTCACGTTTTATGCTTGCAATTGCTACCGACAATTCCTGGTATAGTCTTTTTTATTATTTTTAAAAGTTTTTATTGTGAATTGAGTGATAGTTTACATGGGAGAACATCAGTTTTACATGCATCACTTCATTGCAGTGATTAAAAACATTCAGAAATACGTAATAATTTAAACAACCAAAGGGCACATTCTGCAAACCTGCCTCCTGGCTCCCAGCACACAGCCTTTCTCTTTTCATGAGTCTACAGTCCTCAGCTGATGTCTCTCTGCATGTCCCCACCTTCGCCTCCATCTCTGGTGGTACTGCTTCTCTGGATAGGGTCCCACATTCTGCTCATGCTCTTTCCCCTTGATGGTCCCAGAGTCCTCTGGTCCTGGACTATAAGATCAACTATTCTCCCCACCCCCTTTTATTTATTTATTTCTTTTGTAAATCTTTATTACATGACTGATGATCTTTCTTAAAAAGGCATTTCATTAATCATGACTTGATTAATCTTGAAAAATGTATAGAACAAATACACAAACAATAAAACATTTTTCTCCTTATATGTACTCGTTTCTGATTTTCAAGGCTTTGTCCTCTGATTTTGTAACTCAGGTCCACTGTTATGTAATGACATTGAAGTATTTTTGCCTTTTTTTTAAAAAAAGTTTTTATTGTGAATT